TTGCAATTTTTTTTTATAATATCAAGTGACGGCACGAATAAGTCGTGCGCCTGATGGTAAGCTACACGCCTGTCCATAAAAGATCTGAGGGGCATTGTCACTGCGCCCGTCACCTTGAGACATAAGTTGACAAGTCCCATGTACCTTTAATTTAACCAGCACCCTTACCCTTCAAAACCGGAACACAGTAATGCTAACATTACTGCTTGGCGGCAGAAATAGGTAAGGTGGCAGTACTTCCCTGGAATACCTACCTATGAACTCGATAAAGCACTTGTGTTATGGAATTCGGAAACAACGATGGTACTACAAACTCACAGGCCCGAGACGGCCGGGGATCGAACCCGAGATCTCAAGATGGCGACACTACGAAGACCTGTGTGTAAGCCACTGGACTATGAAAGTCGCCAAAAATCATGTTACGTTACGTTAATTAAAATGTTCCCATTAAATGAAAGCATAACCAGAGTAATGTTGTCTTTAAATATATTCTCGACTTAAACCGTAGCAAAAGATAAATCTCGTATATCCAATTATTTTTTACAACAAGAGGTGTAAGTGAAATTGCTTCATAAATGTTTAGTGAAATGTCTGCAGAAGGAAGGAATATATTAAAAAAGGAAGTATCAATAATACGCAGATGAAATATTAAAATGCAGAGCAATAAGACGTTTGATTTTTATTTTTATTCGTGTAACACAGATTTTTTGTAATTTAGAGAAATGTAATTGCAATATAATAAATTAGGCGTGTTGACGATATTTTTGGTTATGCTTCATTATAGATTACACAGTAAAAGCGTTATGTTCTGACAAATACCTCTGACAAATACCGCCGTCATGAAAAACAGTAAAAGAAAATTATACCTTCTTCCACGAGATTTGCAAATTATTTGAAAAATAAAGTAACCTTTCAGAATGGAAAGGTTGCTTTCATAACAAGTGAAATATTCTAATCGTAGAAAAAAACAAACTTATAACAGTACCATGTTTGTTGTAGAAACTACAATAGCATAAAGTAGTTATTACGTAGTTATTGTTATGTTTTGTAAAACGCGCTTTAGTATCGGAGCTGTGATTAAATTATCGTTTCACGCACATGCAGGTGGGTATACTATTTAGGTAGGTATACACAATACTACGTAATATATTGCTGTATGGATTCCTCCATAGCTACTAAATATTCAAGACATGAATATTATATAATACAACGAAAATAAAACAGCGTTGTGTTTTTTATTCTTCCCACAATATTTTGATATTAATTATGTTGGCAGTTGGACATCTATTTGTAGATACGGTAAACAATACTACTTTAATACGAGGATTGTTTACCATTATCATGTTTGTTTTATATATCCAAGCAGCCCACCCATATCTAAATATATTTCAAATAAGATAATAAGAGAAATTAGAGGTCAAATTCCGTCAAGATATCTCAAAGAAGGTTTCTAGATAATTTAAAATAAAAGTGGGCACAACTTTATTAGTAGATCACAAGAGTGCTTTGAGAAAGTATCTGTAGGTAGTGTTAAGATTCATTCTTATCTTTTTTATTTTGGTATTGTTTGAAGTAACCCTTCTAGAATGCTACAAGACCATTTGTAGAATGATGACAGTTTTTATTTAGTCTTGTCGATAGTTTTTAGATAATTTATAGTATAGACTATAGATATAGATATTTTTATATAGATAGTTTTCTTAATAGTGCTATTTTAAAACCAAAATACTAAAGTGTTACAAACATAGGACGCAATTTTCTTAATACTAATAGATTTCATGTTTAATGGCTTACAAAATATAAACTATATAAATTGCAACATGGCGAAATTAGATATAATATTTCTGACTTTTTCGCGCAATGTTTAATCGGTTAGAAAGCGCAAATTGACGTGCGACTTTAAATACATTGTGAAAAGTGATGTAAAACCTGTCATAAAAGTAATGCGCTCGCTAAATTTTAAATATTTAAGTATAAAATATAAACTTAATAAAAATACAGTTATCGATTTTAAATATTTATAGAAAGCTTAAATATACAAAATAAACCATTTCCAAGAAGTTCTAGGCTTTTTCAATTTAGATTTACTTTTTAAAAAGAAAATAATTTTTTCTCGGCTACTTCATAGTCATTCTTTAAAAATAAAAATGGCGATAAGAATTTAAAGCTTTTTTCAAAACACAGTTGGGAGCATTTTGTCTACAGCTTTATCTATAGAAAAACTTTAGAATACGAAAAGATTATTTTTACTTGCTTTAGTGTAGTTGAACTCGTCGAAGAATATTCCTCCTATGAGATTTTTATGATTGTCTACAAAACGCGATGCTTCTAAGCGATTTTTTCTTTTGACAGTATTACAAAACCTTTATAAGGTTATAAGACAAAAATGAGCTCTTTATGCAATAAAAAACTTTTCAAAACACTAGGTCAAAAAAACAATTGGAAAAAATCTAATTTGTCGCAGAAAAAAACGTTATTCTGCATAATTGTATGGAATGTGTTATAATATGACTAGAAAGGTGGATAAATTTACTATCATTTAAATATAAGGAATATTTTAATGACATATCTAACTTATGATGGAAGAAATAAAATTCTCATTACAAAATTGAGGTTATTTTTTCACGCCAACCACATTTCAAACAATGATTTCACATTCTATTGATAAACGGCACAATACACATACATAACATTGAAGTACAGTAGTTTACACGCTTATTTCAATTGTTTTTATCATTTCACAACACGGAATTACTTCACAATGTTTATTTATTTGTCAACAAACAAATGCCAGCCATGACCGGCCCGAGCGCGAATTACGACTATTGTATCCAGCGTTGCCAATTTGTAGGGAATTCCCCAAATTGTGGGGAGTTTCAACTAGACTGGGGATTTTGTGGGGATTGGCGCTATGTGAGGAAAATGTGGGGATTCTAGCATTTTATCGTTTTGTTTAATCTATCAATTGCTGATGCATCGCTAGTTTGATCATTACTGTTGTACAGAACCACTGTGATGGACTATATCGACCTGTTATTCAACATCGCACATCTCTCGTATTATTAACAAGCAGCTTAATTATAATTATTATTAGAGCACTTGGTTCCGAATAATTAAATTACCAGTGGGTGCATGTTGAGTTCGCGATTCTTTCTCCCGCTTAGGACAGTCCCCGGTATAAAGCAAAACGAAATCAGCTATTGATAAACAAAGCCGAGCAGTTAGTACTTCTTTACTTACACCACAACTTACCACTCGTCAACTTTAAATATTAAATATAGGTCGAAACTCATTGATTATTTCTAACGTTAACATAGTATCACCAAATGCACAACAAATAATCAATTTACTTAATTTTGTAAGGCAAAGAAAAATAATTTTTTGTTCAGACTGATTACAGATTAATGTTGAATCTAATTAATATTATAATTAATACAACTGCCTCCGTGGCCGAACGGTTACCATGACGGACTGCCATGCAGAGGTCCCAGGTTCAATTCCCGGGTCAGGAGAAATATTTGTATGGCCTACATTTAATTCTCTCGTGAGTTTGGATGTAATTTGTGGTTATCTACGTGTTTGTCCATGGCACCCGCGGCACAGGGTTTCCCTAGTGCGGGGCTATGTTGAGTGTGTACGTTATTATTATTATAGTGATTTTTGGGGATTTTGAACAATTGGTATTGGCAACGCTGATTGTATCGAATGATGTGACTTAATATCCAAGGTTTACCACCTCCACCATCTTTTAATATTCTTTACTTTATCCATTTTGCATGAACTCTTACAACGTCCAATAGAGTAAAAACCCTAATTGTAGTATGTTTTTAAATAAAATCTACTGAAGACGCGCTATAATGTGTTTGTCAATAAGTACAAACACTACAGAATGTCTATAAATTAAATATATCTAGAATAAACTTAAGAACACCAGTTTTTAGAGTATTAATAGGCTTTACTGGATGTATATAGAACAATTTTACTAAAAATAATCAGTTGTTCTACAGATGAACTTAAAATAATGACTATAGAGTAAATCTTAAGAGAGATTACACTTAATTATGTTGTTTCTATTCAGAAGGTTTTAAAATTTAGACTTGAGTGAAATAAGTCTATAAGAATAACTTCTTTTTCTAAAACCATTTATAGAGAAGTATTATCTAAATCTATACCATATTAAGACTGTTTATAGATATAACAGTTTTAAGGCGTTTAATGTGTGCTCCTTGGGTACACTTCATCACAATACAAATTTATAAAAACTACGTATATTATGAGCCGCAATGACGTTGAAACAAGCGAACAATAAAACAAATTAATTAAGACAGTGGGAAAAACTCACACGATTCAAATTATTACACAGACCAAAGCTGTTTCCATCTCTGAAACCCCTATCTGTCCGGTTCGTTCACTCTCATCAGCTCGTATTCGTTAATATTCAATTTAAGAACGTACTTAAATAAATCTGTGAAAATATTACTCCTTAGTTCCTAAAATAGAATAGAAAAATATATAAAGGTTTTACATTAAAGCACATTTACAGCCTAAATACGTTAAACAACGTTTTACAGAAGTATATCCTTAATATAAAACACTCTAGCAAGGCTTTCGCATTTTTTATCATCAGCACCGACCGCTTGTAAGAGGTCAGAGAAAGAAATGACCATAAATTCATTAAATACGAACGTATACGCAAGGAACGGTAATTCAGCAGTTTTCTTTGAAAAAGGTGCACCTTCCATTTTCTCACGTTTATTTGCCATTTTTTCAGTTATGTCTTCATTTGCCGTAAGTTATCGGGTTAGGATAAAATATAAAACGAAAGATTTTTTTTTCGTTTGAGCGCAATGGTTGCAAAATTATACTAATTTTTATTTCGCGGAAAAAGTTGATTTGATATGAGGTTAAAGAGAATAGGGTTATATTTTTTTCCTCTAACACTTATGAATGATGCTGGCTCACACCAAGGTATTTGGACGAATACTATGAAGAATACTTACGTTTAACATTATAATGAAGAAATCCAGCGTGAAGAGAAACGACGTGATTGGATTGAAGTTGAGCTGGGAACAAAAAAATAGACGGTAAAATTTAAGTATAAAAATCAACTTTTATTATGCAGCCAAAAGCACATCAATCAATTTGGACTTTGGGCTGTTGTTGTCACAGGCGGCGAAGAGTTAAATTTAAAAATGTAAGTATCATACTTGACGTGCTCTGTACCCTTTACCTTCGTATTTATAAATATATCCATGTAAATATATTTTGTTGTTTTTTTTAACGCAGACACTCAACAAAGCCCCGCACTAGGGAATCTTTGTGTCGCGGGTGCAATGGATACACACATAGACTACCACAAATTACACCCAAACTCACGAGAGAAATAAATGTAGGCCATACAAATGTTTCCCGGTCCGGGAATCGAACCTGAGACCTCTGCGTGGCAGTCCGGCATGGTAACCGTTCAAGACAGGCCAGATTTTGACTTAGATCGAGGGCCTCCTGAGAGTCCAACGCTCCTAAATACTCCTTGCTACGGCACTGTCGTAGTAATTACGAGTACCATTACACCTAAGGTCGAGAGAATTCAGAACAAGATAATATATCTCGATAACTGAGATTTATATAATAAACAATTTTATTTTTAGCGCATCTATCAACTAGCCACCACGGTGATAATCAAAGTAGGCACTTCTGTATCGCATTGCCGGTCTGTCGTAGGTAAATGTAACTTTAGGGACCGACCCCACTTGTTTACGGGCATCAGCACATCGTCCGTACTGAACGCTTCTTTTATGTCATCCGTGAAATGGTAAAGTCGAAAGCGTCACTTTGAGTAAAAATGCGTCGTATATCACTGATTCGAATTTTTTCTGCATTAATTTGTCTAGGCTTCGTTGCAGTGTTTAATCAAACACAATAATAAGGCAACTCGCAATTTTTCAGTGGTCCGATTTGCTTAAGCATCTTTGTGAGATTTTTAAATTCCCTTATTTTGCATACCCTATAATAGCACCAAAAATCCTTTCATCTTTTCACGAAGTCTGGTTTATTCAGCGTATTTCAGCATCTAGCGTGCTGATGATACTTCATATAAAATACCACGTTTAGCATGGATGCAGCGCTGATGTGAGATAACTAGTGGGGTGCAGCCCATATTCTACCCAATATCAATTAACACTTTTATTACCGATACTATAGCAAAATAAATCCCGACGGCAAGTACAGAACTAAAGTCACGTAATAACAATAGCAATAGCGACTCAGGTAGCAATAATAATGGACGTTACGATTTCAATAAAACGAATAATTGTTCTTTCGCTGCGGGGACAACATTTGTAAGCGTTTATTCAAATGTATTGGAACACTTTCTTGTAAAATAAATAGGCGCCCTGTTATTGATTTTAGTTATAGTTGTTCAGTACACAATTTTTAAGTTCCATACTAAACTGTTTTGATAGTCATCAAAAATATTAACAAAATAAACAACATCGCTGAAGTAAATTCCACGCGTTGTGACTGAAGTAGCTTTTTTAAAAAAATAGCGTAGTGAATAAAACATCACATACATGCCTGTTGAGAACAATAAGTTTATTAGAGGGTCGGATTTCCTTTTTGACAGACAGCCTCTTTATAACAATTCTATTCTTACTAACGTAGCTAATCAGTTATAGGAATACCACTAACATTTCAAAAAGATACTAGGTATACAGCTCACGCTTTTCGTTCCACGGTATTTAGCAGAGTCTTCATTACGATATCTGCTTTATGTACTCGTAAAAGAAAACATAAAGAATTTATTTTCCATTCTGTGAAAATATATTTGTTTCTCTATATTGTTATCTTCACTTTTCATAAAATACTCCGAGAACGAAAGGAGTTAAATTAAGAGAGAGCTAGTCAATCGTGAAAATAAATCTACTTGCTTTATCTAAGTACCTTTTATATTGTAAAGCAATCAGTTGGCTGTTTGATTTAAGCTATTGTTCCAAGTTTCATTTGATATGCATAACCCGGCACAGAAGTAATAATAAGCTTCCAGGTAATAATGAGCTTCCGTTTGCTCTTTTAAACGTTAGAAAACAAGAACAATAAGAGGCTTTACGTTCATAGTTGTTTGTTTTATTTTTATTTAGAAAGTCCTATTAATTAGCCAACGAACATTTAATGTCCTGTTACTTGTTTTCAAATTCAGTAATAAGTAAACAGACAGATCATAAATGGTTTCCCTCTCATGTAAACACAATATGAGCTTCCGTAGATTCTGTTGCGTAGAAGATGTTTTATTTTGTAAAATGGATCTTTAAAAAATATATAATATATTTATTATTGTGTTTAACTTTGTTAAGAGTTTCAGACAACAACGTACGGCGACACAATATTGGTTTGCCAAGTTGTTATTAATTTTTATTGCATGAATCGTTTTTAGTGAGTACGCGCCACTGAGCTATAAAACCTTTATTACCTTTATTAACGTTGCAACGTTATTGCTTTGCATTGCATCGTGACCGTGCACGTCACATACACAAGGCTTTCGCTTTGAGTTGTCAGCAATATTAATTTTAGATATTGCACACGCGTTAGGGTTTACATACGGCCTGTTCAAGTGATCTAGAATTTAATGGGTTGAATTTACTTCTAACTCTACGAATTATAATATTATTTGTCATTCAAATGGTTTACTTATAAGCAAATTGAAATAGTTTTTTAGAATGATTTTCAAACATGTGAATATATTCTCAGTACAGAGTACTAAAAAAACCGACCTCAAAAGTCATCATTCATCCTCTAGTTTGCCACACTAAGAGTCGTATTCTAGAACTCTACTCAATGCTCAAGTCAGGATTGCAATTGAAACACAAGCACTGGAAATACGATCCTAATGGCAAGGACTTGAGTATGATTTTCAGTGCTCACTGCAATACTCAAGTCCTGACGTAAGTGGGTATGGTCGACAACTCTAAAAGTAGCCGGTAACATCATCAATAAAAGTCATGTCAACGTGAGAGACCTACCACCCAAAAATTAAGAATAATTGCAATATATGTATTTATTGACTATCGTGAAGTTTTACTACCATGATTTTCATGTATTTTCTTTTTGTAAAAACGCTCCAATAGTTCGTTATTATTATATCAGTAGATACAAAGATCGAACACAAAAATAAATTCTTTCGATCTGACTGGATTCGAACCACTACTGTCTGTTGCCTTGCCGGGGCCACCGCTCTTAACCAACTGCATCGTCGCATCAGCAACAATTGCTGTTTTCGTACTTCGGAATATACGTAATGTTCCAGGAATACATAATGGTCAACAACTTCGAGTGTAGTAATTTTAACTGGAGCGGGTACAACATGGGCATTCGACATAATCTTCGTCTTGTCCATGTTCATCTTAAGGCCCACTCTTTGGGAAACACTAGTGAGATCTTCGAGCATTGTGTTAAGGTCTCCCAAAGTCTCAGCCATAAAAACTATATCATCGGCAAATCGAAGGTGTGTTAGATACTCGCCGTTGATGTTGATGCCAAGTCCTTTCCAGTCGAGAAGCTTGAAAATATTCCCCAACGCAGCAGTGAACAATTTCGGAGATATCACATCTCCCTGTCTCGCGCCTCGTTGCAGTTGGATATAATTAGAGCTCTGATCCTGTAACCGGACTGACATAATAGCGTTTTTGTATAAGTTCCTAAACACCTGGATATATCTATAGTCTATTTGGCACCTTTGGAGAGAGTGCAGCACCGTCCAGGTCTCGATCGAATCAAAGGCCTTCACATACTCCACAAACGCTAAGCAAAGTGGCCGGTTATACTCCTCAGCAGTGTTGGGCAAAATTTAATTGTTCTGGCAATTAAAGATTGACAATTGATTAATTGTCAATTGCGAAACAGCAACCGGGCCCCAAACCGGGGCCTCCAATCGGGCCCCCCAACCGGGCCTCCAACCGGGCCCCCCAACCGGGGCCCCCAACTGGGGCCCCAACCGGGCCCCCCAACCGGGCCCCCCCAACCGGGCCCCCAACCGGGGCCCCAACTGGGCCCCCCAACCGGGGACCCTAACCGGCCGGAATTGATTTTAATTGCAAATTTAATTGCAATTAAAATCAATTCAATTGAAATCAATTGCAATTAAAATCAATTGCAATTGATTTCAATTGAATTGATTTTTTAATCTGATTGAATTATTGATTGTTTAATTGATTAACGCCCAACACTGGGCTATGTTGAGTGTACGTTATTATTATTATAGTGATTTTTGGGGATTTTGAACAATTGG